CAAAACACACAGTGGAGAGCACAACAAAGTCAGGGAGGTCTGTTGTCTGTTATCTTTTAAGTGCTATGGTTTATATCAATCTTCCATCTCAGAGATGTTAAGTTGAACAGAAGGCGGGTGATAAGGTATGAAGTGTGTCACAGTTTGTTACAATGGAGACCTGTGTGAGGTCATTGTGTGAGATGAAGTGATGTACACAGAGGGGTTTTACTTCGTTGGATACATTGTTGAAGCATTGTGCTGCTCTGAGGCTGTTTTGTGCGGGATACTGAATGGGAGCGGCTTGTAGAGGGATGGAAACCCTGATGGTACGTGACGATTAAGGACATGCAGGTATGATGTCATGTGCAGGGTGTGTGCACGCGTGTATGTCTGAGAAGTCCTCTACACAAATGCTAGTTTGCACCTGTGCACATCAGTGTGTACGCACCTTGTTATAAAGTATACCACGTAAATGTCCCTGTGTGTGCGTCTGCCTGTGTGCCTGTGTTTACATAGCATCCGTGTGTGTCGGTGTTGTTTGTGAGTGTTTGTGTGTGTGTGATATCATCCGTCGGCGTGTCTTGCCTTGCTCTGGTCGTAACCCTGCAGCAACAGGAAGTAGGGCCGATCTGTGGGTGGAAGGATCAAACTTTGTGACATCACTTCCAGGTCACAGCTGGAGTAATCCTCGTCCTCCGCAAGCTGGTTCGTCCATCCGACCTTTGCTTCCACTTTTGAGGCTCTGATCTGAAAAAAGGTTAAGACATGATGGTTAAAACGCCACATGCTGAATTTCAGTAATTCAGTGTTTTCCTCACAACATCATCCTCTTTACCTCTCCTTGCTGTGGGTTGATCATGCTCACAATGTTCTTCCTGTCCTGCAGTCCTCCATTGTTGTTCGGCCGGTTGCCAGACCCACGTGAATCATTACTGACATGGTTGCCTTGGCGACGCCGCAGACTCAGGTTCATGTCACTGATGCTCCTCCTGAGCTCTGAGTTTCTTCCACGGTGTCCACGCTCGCTCTCCTCTGGTCCACCCCCTGATGACATCCTGCTCCGCCGCCAGCGCACACCTGCTGCCCAGACAATTAGAGGATCGGTCAGTCTGACCTTGTGTCATGTATAAAGAGACCTGCCAATTAAGTCTCAAACATACCTTCTCCCTCCCTCTCACGCTCCTTCTCCTTCTCCCTCTCCCTCTCTTCTCTCTCATAGTCGTCCTTTCTTTGGATTTCAAAGCGCCGCTCAAATCCGTCCTTCGGCCGCCACATGTCCACTAACAACAGGGGACATTCCCATGGGGTAACGCTTCTCCGGCACTCTGTGTCCCATTTGATAGCTCCATCTGGCTGCTGGATGGGCTTTCCAATGACATCACACAACAGGAAGTCCTCTGGGCTGTGTTTCTGGACAACTAGAAGGTAATGGAGGAAGGGAGGAGGAGAGGGGGTAATTATTTTTCCATAACACCACTGTTTATGTTTGTATTAAGTCATTCCCTATTGGTTAAACATATTTGAGCAAACAATTCCAAGTAATGAGTCGCAGCAGAGGTCCACATGAGAGAAAATTTCCCTCTCTAGTACCTGCGTCATCTGTCTCCTCCCTCTCCCTCTCAGTGTACCGGGTGATGACCTGAGCGATGAGTTGTCTGGCTGTAGAATGAATGTTGGCCAGAAGCGAGCGATAGTTGGCCCCACTGGAAAGGGCATCCCCATAGATCTTGATTAGTCCCGGGGCAGAGGAAGAGGCAGGGGGCAAGTAGTGGTGGGAGGACGGGGCAGCTGAATGAGCCCAAACCTCTCTCTCCCTCTCCCCCACCGCCCGGTCCCGGTCACTGTTAGAGCGCCCTCGCAGGAAGAGATGGGAAAGGCGCTTTGTGCGGGACTGGGGGCCAGCAGTTCGGGGCCTGAGGAAGGCTGGGGAAGGAGATGGGGATGGGGTAGGGGAAGCCAGCGAGGGGGTGGAGTTAGAAAGGGAAGAGGAAGGAGCAGAGGGGGCCTCGTGGAGGGAGGCTGCGTCAGAGCTGGTGGTCGACCTGAGAACAACAGAGGAGGGGAAGACAGATGGAGGAGAGAGGAAGGAGAAAGGAAGGGACAAGTCAGCTGTGAATTATGACGGACTAAACATGGACAAACAAGAAGGACTAAAATAAAACAGGGAAGGGATACAGGGTTGAAGGGACACTAATGACAGTGGAAGTGAGATAAGATGACATCAATGCATTAGCTGTTAATTCAACAATCTGAATTCAAACTAAACAATAACTGGCATGAAAGTTGCATAACAATTCTAACTAAACAATAACTGGCATGAAAGTTGCATAACACAGGAGATTAAAAAGTGAGTTTAAGAGTACTTCAGACTGACTTGACAGAGATAGCGCTGGGCCAGCGACCCCCAAGCTTGGCAAAGTGTTTCCTGGGCGAGTTGATCCACAGACCCACTGGGAAATGGAGCTTTCTGAAGCGAGGACTGCCAGACCCCTCCATCTGACAGAGTGCAAGAGAAAAACATGCAGATATTAAGAACAAATCTGGCATTTATGACTCAATAATCTGCCAATAAATAATAATGATAATGACATTGAAAATGTCAAGATACTGTAAATGTCACATTTCCCTTTATGTATTTAATCTACCTCCACACTGTAGTGAAGAATGTGTGTCAGCAATGCCAGGATTGAAACAATACAACAATGACATGATGTCACCATCAAAAAATATCAACAGGATACCTACAGCTGGTTGTCAACATGGTGAAAACAAAAAGAAAGAAATTAACCAAGAACACCCAGATGAGCCCATGAAAATCATAGCGTGACTTTCCCATTCTCAAACAGGAAGCATCTTTAGTAGGACTCCGATCCAGCTGTCGCACTGACAGGGAAATACCCACTCCAAAGGTCACTGTCTGTCCTTTTCTCAACGTCACTTTTATGTAGATTACAATCAAAATTATGGATCACACATGATTGTTTTCATCTCATGGTGGAATTTGGAGGCCCAAACAAACAATATTGTATCCCTCTGGAAAACTACCACCTTTGAAAGTGTGATTTCTGACAAGACTGTTTGTCATGTCTTGACATGTGTGTCCACACCTTAAATCTGCTGTTATCGTTCCGGACACAAAAGATGGCAGTTTTTACGAAGCATACTGTCCTAGATGCTGTGGGGGAATATTTTGAAAACCATAAAATTAAAATGCTACAAGAAAAAACAACAACAATGCTTTTAGCTGTTAGATTTTGAATGCACTTACCCACGGTTACTTCTGATCCTTCTATGGTGTCTTTTGATGAATCTTTGTCACCAAAATTCAAATACGCAGCTCAAAGTAATCTAATAACCTTGTATGTTCCCTTTTCCCCGCGTTGAAATTCCATTTTCAAAAGGCGTTAACCTGTCACACATCTACATACACATTGCTACTTTTTAAAAACCATTAGTTCAATCATCTCTTGACTAAAGTATCTGTTTCTTTTATTTTTCTCACTAACTGGACACGGTCTGCTCCCTCTCTCCCTCTGGCTCTCAGGCTCTCTGGTTCTATAGATAGAGAAACAGGCCCATTGTTCTAAGTGACAGAATTTCCTTCCTCAGCAGTGGACAACACCTATATCCTGACTGAGTGAGAGAGAGAGGCAGAAATTGGTAGAGAGCGAGAGAAGGGTGAATTTGCACACACACACAAATGAGCCTTTGACAACTTTGTAGGGATTACTATACACTACATTATACCCCACAAAGCAATCTAGATATCTATCTTTTGGTCTGTCTGGATTAAACACAAATATGGTGTCACTGTTTCATCCTAATAAACTTTAATGACATCAAACTGGGTCGTAAAGCCACAACAGATTCTCAAGAATGTGGCCATTTAAATCCGATACTACTTTGAGATTTTTGTGATTAGAACAGATATCGTGATGCATCACAAAACACACAGAGGGAAGTTTTGCTGAAAAGAGGATAAAGGAAAAACACATACAGCGAGACAGGAAGCAAGAGGGAGCGACAGAGACACCTGTGATCTTTGACCTCTTCTTCGACAGGAAGATGGTGAAGAAAAGAGAAAGGAGAATATCACTGTGTCTCACTTCAGGGGATAGATCTGCTGAAATCTGCATCTCCAGACCGAATACGTTGTCAATACAGGTCAACAACCCGTGTCCCATTTCAAAGGCTCCTCCACTGTTTCAAAGTGTCATTGAAGGAGAAGAGAATAGATTACTTCAAGATAAATGTTGACAACATAGAGTGGCTATAGCATTAGTACAACACAATAAATTAGGTCTAACTGTGATCGATCTCCTTCCAAATCTTACATGTGAAACAGGCTACAAACAGAATATAACATTACTGTGAGTGATGTTGTCAATCATTAAAAATAAATATTTTATCAAAGGAATTTAAAATTAAGACAGTAATGTAAGTTACATCATGAAATATGTAGCTTGTTGGGGCATGCCCTGAGGGGACTTTGTAAATGACTTTGACTTGAATCAGATTACTTTACTATATTTGTCAAAAATATGAGAGTGGAACACCGTGAGAATATAGATGAACAGCAGAGAATATGATATGTTTCTTTGAAACGTTGCTATACCAATTTTGATATTTTACACTTCGAAAACTTGTGATTTACTGCAAGCAGCACAAATTCAAACTGACCACAGCTGGAGTCCTCTTCGAAAAAGAGTAAACCATGAACAATAACTAAAATTTGCATGTTGATTCTCCTACAACCAACCAACATATTGCTGTTTTGAGAAGATCAATCTAACTGCTGAGGTGAGAAATATCATAGGAAATATCAATAAGGAAACATTACATATCCCACACTTATTGGTCTTTTGTGTGTGCCACATTAGATCTGTAAACTAAACTAATCTCTCTACTATAAGTCAGGCTACTGATATTTCTTATGGTCGTTATAGCTCAATAAAGATCATTAAAACGGATATTAGGAACCTGAAAGCTGAAGCTGTCTGGTCAGACATTTTAATGAGCCGATATCCCAGCATCCTTTGCGCGTTGACGAGGAAGGGTATGTTTCCGGTGCGCTCCGAGGACACATCAAGAAACGTCCCAAGGTTAGCTCACGGTAACGCCGACACTTAGCATGCTATTTACAACCTTTACAATTATATTTATCAGGCTTTCTGATCTATTGAACTATCAAAACTCTTGAGACAACCAGCCATCCTTAAATGTGTTAACCTAGCTAACAATTACCAGATATATTAACATGTTAGCAACGGGGTGACAGCTAGCATTAGCTAACTAACAACAGTTAGTCAGTTAGCATGCAAACTATGCTAACTTGTTCTTCAAAGCTATGTGTTCGTATCAGTATTTGTTTATGTCAATATACTTATCAAGGTTAGATAGTTATCCTTAGGTTTGTTAAACAAACTAGCATTCAGTTGCGAAATACAGCGTGAGCAAAGCTAACCTAAATTTAACTTTGATCACAACGCTATATTTAGCTTAGCCAGCTAACAGTGAGCCTTAAATTGAGGTCACACACTGTTCATCTAACGTGTTTTCTAAACCTGCATCAGCTGTGAGTTAATCCACTATGTGCCTTGTTTCAGTGTCATTTAGTCGTGTGACTGAAGCTCAAAAAGATGTCTGACACTGTCGAGGAGAAGATCAAGAACTACAGGACGGCTCCCTTTGACGCCCGATTCCCCAACACCAACCAGACCCGCAACTGTTATCAGAACTACCTGGGTGAGGACAGAGATACACATGTTGTGATTACTCCTTAAAAGATCGTAGGACACTTGAGACATATAATTCAAGAGAAGGAAATTCCTCTACCCTTCAATATGCTTACAGCTATGTACCTCTGCAACATCTGTAATGATAGGTAGCGAGTGTTTAGTTAACATATGTGGATGTATAACCATCAGATTTACACGGTACACAAAAGCTTACTAATCAGTCGTCATTCAAGTGTTTATAACACTTTACGTGAAATTAATAACATGACCTCCACATGACATTAGTAGCTTTTAAAAATGCTCCTGCAAATTATAAACTACACAACTGGAATCAGTATTCTGATTAAAATCCACTTGTAATTAATAAAATAAATTCAAACAGCATAATACAATTTTAACCTTGCAGTGAAAATATAGAAAAACATACGAAATTGATAACATTGTAAGTGTCTGTGTTTGTGCTCTTACCAAGGTGTCTTATTTTTATAACCGTGTACGGTTATAATTAAAGATAGTTTTATAAAAACAGCTTCACAATAGTGGTGGGATTATTACTTTCCGCCTCACATTGAAGCTTGAAAATCTTGTTAATAAAACCAAGATAAGCTTGTTCTGTCACACATTTCCATGCTGGTACCGACTGCCCTTCGATCTCAAATGGCTTCTTTCTATTGTGTTTTTAGTGTGAACATTGTGTCAGATGATTACCGTGAACCCTTTTTGTTATTTTTTTGCCCCAGACTTCCACAGGTGCAATAAGGCCCTGTCGGCCAAAGACCAGGATGTGGCTCCCTGTGATTGGTACCAGAGGGTCTACAAGAGCCTCTGTCCTATGAGCTGGGTGAGTTATGGGATTACAGTTATGATAGTTTCGTTGGAAATGTTTTCATGCACACACTTAATGTTGATAGTGCTGGATAGACAACATTAGCTTATGTAAACTAGACAGACTGATTGTTTTACTGCTTCGTGATATTCTGTGCCGTGTGCTTGTCTTTGTTTCTCTGTGATTGAGTGGAGATTGGTTATCTCTTGGAGTTTGAGGTTCTTTGCGACATCCATTAAACTGCATGTGATATACGCCTTTTCCATCATACATTTATAGATATGACAAAATGTACTTGCAGCTGTTGCATTAGAATGCTCAGATTAGGTAGTTGTAACCAAACCTGTTTTTGACTTAATATTATTTTGATACATAAAGTGTTTCCAAAACCAGGGGATGTCAAATCTCTGTTGGTGCTATATTCTAGGGATTGACATGAAACTACCGGAGGTGTATAAAGCCACAGTTCTGCTGATGCTTGAACATTAGTTTTTTTGTCAGTTAGGGCTTATGTGTTCTCTAATATCTCCCACAGGTTTCCAAATGGGACGATCAGATAGAGGATGGAAGTTTCGCAGGGAAGATCTGAAATCGGCAGCTGTTATTGATCAGGACAGTCCCCTCCAGGACATTCTGTTACCTGCAGCTCAGTAGTGCGCCTAAGGACATCTACGTCAGTGATGCTACTGTTGTTGACTTTAAATTTAAACACGCACAGCTTTGCATGTTACAGTCTGAAGTTTTTTCCCTGTCTCAATTGTAAAGTATTCTTCCGGTTTGTTTCATCATTAAATACAGTTCGGATTTAATGAAAAGGATGTTTGTCATTATATTGTTTCAGCACTTTGTTTTTGAGAAAAGCCCTTTAATTAAGTAATTCCAATACAACAGACACAGTGAACTTTTTTCTTAAATATGTTCCTTAATTTAAATAAAAGCAAGCCTGGTGTAGATTTAATGGCTGATATCAAGATTAAGACTCTGGGTTACCCAACGTAGCCTTCAGCTGTCTTGATTTTGCAGCCTCGTTCTGTCTTCATTAAAGTATTCCAGACTATATTTACACTAGAGATGAAGTGACTATTTAGTCATCTCTGAAACACCCTCAGGTCTGTCTGCTGTGAAAACCCAACAAAACTATAACAACGTTTTCCAGCGGGTGGCAGTGGTGATACAACCAGATGGTTGTTTTGACGTAATACTCTATTTTCACCACACTATGGCGCAGTTGAACTGTCTCTCTGTGACCAACCAGCTCACATGTGCCTCTTTATGATGAGGCCTATTGATGTGGGGTTTTCAGGACCAGTATCAAAACTGGTTCAAGACTGAAGACAACAGAATTTGTGCATTTCAGACTATTTGTTCCATGAAATCACAAATAGTCTGAAAATGTACAGAAGATTTACTACATGATCAGGTTTCAATGATAAATATTAGAAATTAAGTTTAAAACATTTTTCATAGTATTGAGAATTATAATTCTGGATCAGTTTTTAAACCGATGCTTCTATAATGCATCCATCCTAAAACATGCAGGACATCAGTGACGTCTCCAAACAATAATATAAATGTAGGTTTTGCTGAATTACCAAAAACCGAGTAATATTAGTAATAAAACCAGACATGAATATTAACTAATTAATGTATTCACGAAGGTGGAGCTGTCGGTTACATTTCTTGTCTTGATGTGTATAATTTTTACACATCGGACAAATAAATGTAAACTTGCTCCTTTGATCTTAACCATAATTTCACTGTTAACTTCACGTTGCTATTGTAGATGACTTTAACCTTAACGGCCTTTAGTAACAAGCGGAGACTTGATTTAATTTCGTTGTGTTACAGTTTTGTATTACAGGATTCCAATATCGACACTTCCGTCTTCACAGCACAGTTGTAATCTTTTTATTATCAGCAGCTCAGCTATGTTATATGTCCTGACACGCCAGAGAGGGTGTGTTCATCTCTGCTGAGTTGATTTGTTCAACCAAACAAGTTCCCCTTCAACCTCTACTTGTTGCTGGTAGACTGTCATGGTTGTGGTGGCAAAGATTTATACAGAAACTACAACATCAAGTGAGAGAAACGCTGCACGATACGTAAAGCTATTTATGTGACTGCTACAGAACTGTGAATGTCATCGTCGGGGTCTATGGTCGGTATCAACATGAGTCAAAAATGATGGCAACTCAGAAGCAGAAGGTGGCACTGCTCCACCAAATGTAAACGAGTAACCGCTCCAGTAAACTGTCATCACGATGCTTCATCTCTCTCTGTTGATCCTGAACTACCAGATTATCATTATACATGCTAAGAATGTGTAATCTCACACACCATCCCAAATTTACCAAATACACCAGATGCTGCATTGAACTAAAATGAAATGTGTATAAAGTTATATAAACATTTGTTTATATTTAATGCATAGACGGCCATTTTAAACATGAATTGACTGTGTTTGAATATTTAGCTTGATGCGAAATATTATAAATCAATGAGGTGCTGAAATATTCAAAATATATGTAGTAAAGTGTGGGAAAAGAAGTGTTTACTTAAAATGTAAGATACCAAACAGCAAATTTCAGGGAACAATTGTGAATTCGAAAGGGTTATTTCTTGCATTTGTCAATAATTGTTCTTTGAAAGTTTCAAAGAATGAACAAATTCAAAACAAAGGATGGAACAGGCTCTACTTGTTGAATACACATGTATTTAAAAACTTTCATTAATTAAACATTTAAATTCTGGATGATACTGCCATATTTAAATATTTGGGAACTTTTATTTTTTCATGAAATCATTGGCAACAGTCCATGACACACAACCGCTTTTTAAGCTCAGGCTACAGGATGTGGTTTTTAATGGTGTGTGTGTGTGTGTGTGTGTGTGTGTGTGTGTGTGTGTGTGTGTGTATGTGTATATATATATATATATATCTATGTCCATGTCCCTGTCTATCTGTGTTTGATCTTTGCAGATGTCCTATAATTTGATTTGTTCACTCAGGCCAGGTCACTGGAGGAGATGCTGCGGGATCGGTTTCCCTGGCAGCGGCTCACAGGATCAGATGGGATGCTGGGACAGAGAGGTGTACTTTGAGAAGAATGAATAAGAACTGTTGCAAACCCTTGAGGCACTGAACCTAAACCTTTGCACGTTCCTTTCTCTCTCTGTTGGTTCCTCTTTTTTCAGGTTATGTCCAATAAATTGCAGAATTGTAGTTGCACATGAAGAGCATTACACACAGAAAGGGGAGGAGCCACACACACTTACCACAACCTGACTTGTTTGATGCAAAGTCACTGTTACAATAGATTTACGGTCACTTCTTTTTACTCGACAGTATGTAGTAAGAAAAAGTAGCTTCACCTTTACCAACTGCAACATTAAGTATTGTATACATTAATTAATCTATAATTATAATTCATGAGTATAATATACATTATTCTGAAATTGGCTTTTCTGCATAATGAGTACTTTTACTTTGGGTATATATTTTGATGCTAAGACTTGAAAATAATGCATGACTTACTTTTAACAGATTACTTTTACACTGTTGTATTAGTAGTTCTACTTTAGTAAAATATCTGAGTACTTTTTCCACCACCGGTCATGGTTTAGTTATCTGTATTTTTGTCAACACCAAACATGATCCATAGTTTCCAACCATTTGGCTCAGAAATAATTATGGGCTAATTAACTGGACTGTTATCTATAGGTTTGTCAATAGTTTACATTATGAACTGCATTACGAAATGTTAGAAAACTATCTCTAAGTGTTGACCTAGACCATCAGTGAGCAGGTAGTTGTTAGGAGATAAGTAACATTGAGAAACCAGCAGGAATAAATTAGATTTAAAGAAAATCCAACCGCAAAACCAGCCAAATTTGGCCAACTCTGTTCCAATGAAAGTAGCAGCAGTGTTTATGTTGGTGACCCAATAATCAGATGAAAATACTGGGTAAAAATAATAACTATACTTTATATAGCAAGAAGCAAAAATATAAAGATGATAATGTTGGTCATTATCAATAACTCAACAGAAAGAGAAAATTAACAATAAACCTGGGTAAAAAGATAATCTTATTTTTGTTTAATTGATGACCCAATATAGACATTAAAAATAACATTATACACTGGGTGGAAGTAGTTTTTTTTTTATATCCATGAGTATACTGGGTAAACTTTATTTACAGACTTATATTTTTGATATGTGGTCAACATCTCCTGAGTTTGGTGGGGGCAGTACTTAAAAACAACACAGAAAAATGTGTTATTTATGCATATTTAACAATTTGTCACCAAAATCCAAGATCAAATTTAATTCCTGAGCCTCTCATTAAAACTGCCAAAGGACAATAACTAAGAACACGATTGAATAGGAACCCAGACTGCTCACATAGTGAAGTGGATTTAAAAATGGCCCTGCTCACTCTGGAAACCTTGTCAAATTCCAGACCGAGATTTAGGTGGGCTGTGGAGATTAGACATAGTTGATGAAGAATTATGAGGGCTCCCCATTTGTTTGCCACCCACTGAGCCGGTCTCATGATTTCTGCATGACAAGGCTTTGTATCTGAACTCCGTGCACATTGCCTTTTGTTCTCGTGCCCCGGTGGGCAGCCGACGGGTCAGCAGCAGCAGCAGCACAGAGACTCCTTTCAACCGGCACCGTTTGGTCTCCGTCTCTGCTCTGCGCTGTAGGTTTACGCTCGCCCGAGCACGTCTCCCCCTCCTTCAGCTCAGCGGAAATGTATCCGCGATGATGCCACAGACATTACGAAACAGGTGACTCGACTGGGTGGGATATTTTTTTGCATGCGCTTTTTTACGCACGGGGAGCTTCCCTGCGCGTAAAGAGTGGGGAAAGAAAAAAAAACACCAACGCTAAAACGTGCTGGTGAACTTGTACCACTTTTTTATAAAAACACACAGATAGGAGGGAGGGCTGAACATCTGCCTGAGCATACAACATCTGGACAGGACTGATTTACTGGATACAAAGGCTGACACAAATCCCACGTAACGGTAAACAAAACATTTATTCTGCGGGTTATCAATGTCAAAAAACCCACGTGTTTATTCCATGTCAGTATAGTCATTATAACATGACAAATTGGTAAAGTAGCCTTCTGTGTGTAATAAAACATGTTTTTAAATGAAATCCTGTAGAGCAGCATCTGCAGCTCCATCACACAATGTGGGTTATTGAAGTCTCTGCAGCCCATTGATTTGATATTTCATGCTTTGTATTGATAAAAAAAGCAAAAGCAAAGCGACAGTAATTTAATTTGAAGAGAGGGAGTTACATCACTTGTTTTCTCATTTGAGTTCATGATTAGAGAGAGCAGAAGAGGAGGGTGAATACGGAAGCAAAGGGAGGGGTTTACCGTCATTTTGGGCACCGAGTGCTGTTGAATTCAGTGAGAGCAGAAAAGTGCTCCACTCTACCTAGGTCTCTGTTAGGTCTGTGGTTTGTGGTCCTTACTGGTATGAGCTAATGGACAGCTGCTCAGATTCTGAACTCGTTTATTCTTTATTCATTATTGATTATCACATATTGTTCTTGTGTTTGTTTGTATTCAGGTTTCTCTGCTGACTGTTTGCACAGAGGTGTGTGTGTGTGCTTAAGGAATAAGACACAGCTCCGTCTGAGAAGCTTCCTTCTGCCGACTGAAGAGTTCCTGTTATCTTTCTTCTTAATATCTTCTATCAAGCAGCAATGATGGAGCGGATGGAGGACCATAAGGTATATATCACTGTTTTTCCAAACTTATTTCAACATTTAAAACCTACATGTGTGATACTGCTGTACAGTTTTTGCACATGACAATAATATTCTCAGATACAAACACATGACTTTAAGATGTCTGTTATAATTCCCAGTGGTCCCTGAGGAAGAGTGCCAGCCATTTTGCCATTGTTTGTTATTTCGTGAAAACACGTCCTAATGAATGAGAGTGTGGTATTACCAGTCACAGACTGACAATTCTGTATTTTTCCATTCTGGCAAGAGCAGGCGATTGGGTGAGAGACTACCACTTCAGGAAATGAGTAAGAGAGAATGAGTGAGACTGTTGGGTGGCAAGTTTGAACTTGTGTGTTGTAGTTTCTTGCTTCTATCTGCCTCATCCTTCAAAAAGTTGGATGAGGGAATAGTAATATAACAAAAAGAGATCTGGAAAAGGGCAAGGATTGACAATTCGCAACTGCACAAATATAGAACATATATTAGGTTGTGATTTTAGTGATAACATGGTACACAGGGGATTTAAAGTCACTCATCAAATGGTGAACTTTTGAATTTGAAAGCATTAACTCTTTGGCATTATAAAGAATATCTCCAGTGAATTTGCCTGCTATCATGTGTCTTTGCAGACCTTCCCTGTGGTTTATCTTTTGAAACATGCAGTTACTTCATTTTCATGGCTGTTACTTAAGATTTACAGATCACGTTAATGTGATTACCCACCGAACCACTATGATTACTAGCATGCACTCCAAAAAGCCTCCAGCAAAACATAAGCACAAAGTTATTACAACCAAATGTCTTTCTTTCGTAAATATTTTTTCCTTTTGGATGTACCGCACTGAAGAGAAAAATGTGTACAGGAACTAATGCAAAAGTCAAGTTTATGATAAAAACACACAAGAAATGTTCAATGCAATATAAACAACATAAAACAGGTGGAAAAAAAGAAATTTTGAGTAAAAGAGAGAGACAGGGACGAAGATTGCAAGATGACATGAAAGTGGAAGTCACTTCCTGCATCAAAGGAACTCAAAGCGGTTATGAATAATTTGTTACAATTTCTATTTACTATTAAAGGGCAAATTGACCAAACATAAGTACAGGAAATGACCATATTAAGAAAGTAAAGTTTTTTGGAAACTGCAGCTAAGAATATCATTTCACCACAAGATCCTTTTAGTAGCTGTTCTGGAGCTTTCAATCACATCACATGCTCTTCATGAGCAGACGGAGTTTGAATTGTGCACTTTCAAACGTCTACATTTTCTGAGCACTTTAAGTTCATCTTAGTAAATCTGAGTTGTCAGTATTGGTATTATCGTTTGGTTGCGGCTACATATTGATCATAACTATTTTAGCAGGATGTCATAGAGTATGTTATAATTTAAACCAGTATGTACAGTATATTATAGTGTACAGCTGCAGACATTGAGCAACATTAATGTTTGGCTGCTGCTTGCAATTCTAGAAACGCACACAACTGTGAATATGTTCCCGTGCGACCACAATGCCTCACAACATGCTGATACAACCTCTCTGAGTCTGACACGTTCAAGACCTTAATGTGCTCAGTCGGCCACTCCTTCATTAGAGTTGCTTTAGCAAGAGGCGTTTCATTGCAATCGTTGTGTCTTTTTCAACATAAGCATGTCTCTACCACAAGCACACACATATGTACACACACAACCACACCCCCAATGTGCAGTTTCTCCTCATCAAATCCTCTCTAGTGCACCACAGACAAACCTGCCATGTTTTTAACCCTGCTGGTTTTTTGAGGGGATCTTGTGCCAAAAGTCAAACATGGCTTGCGATGAATTTGTGGTTACATGTTAATGATTATATTCTCAAATGTTAGCTCACTTTCTTATTCATTGTTTCTCTTTTTAATCTTTATCATGCATTTGTTTTACTACCAGAACTCTGTATTTCCCCTTCGCTATCACTTTATCCTGTATGCAGCACTTCCTGTGTGCCAAACTGTCAAGATGTCATATCACATAAAGTTCAAACGACTGTAACACCAGAGTGTTCATCTAGTTTTAGTCCTTATTATGAGACAAGGCTATGATGTCCCTAAGAAACACACCGTGACTTGATCTCCACTGATTATCATTATCTTACTACGGTGACATTCTTTCAAGTTATTCGTCACTTCCTCCTTGTCTCACTCTGACTCGTGTTGGTTCATGCTAACCTGATGAAAGAACAGACAGTTTGTTTCAGGAGAGGGAGACTCCTTTAACCTTGACTTTTATCTATATATGTGTATTTTATCTGTGAAGAGAGTAACAAAATGTCTGCTAGAACATTGGGACAAAGCGCATTATGCCTATCTTTGTGTCTGCTTTCTGACTTGAGTGCGATTATAAATTGTGCAAAACAACTAATTATCTTGCAACATGAAGTTTGTGTTGAAACAGCGGCGGATTTTGAAAAGACTGGATGATGAAAAATAGATTTCCTTTTATTACTCAGTCTATTTGGACCTTTAGATTCAGGATGCAAAAGTTCTTAGAAGGTTGGTGTATTCAATTAAATGTAAAAGAGATATAGTTTCTGGGTTGGTTGAATCAAAGTGAAATTTCAACGGGGATTTCCATTTTGGGCATGCCAACTCCATATAGTACACGTTAAACTTCATTAAACCAATTACTCCGTTCAATTCTGCTCGGTTGGATACTTTTAAATTTTGCAAATTTCATGCCCTGCCATGTTAGGGATTATTGTCAGGTGTATTAGCTTGTTATTATGAGTTAAACCCACTTTAATTCCAAAACCAGCAGGGGGAAAAACCCATCACAATAGGATCCAGTCTTATTCTCTCAGGGTGTCTTTAGCTACTTAGCTGAGAAATACCTCAGAGCTGCAAATCATGGAGCATGTGCCGTGTTGTAACACCCAGCTTTCACAGCAGTGCTGCGAGCTGCTGATGCAGAAAGCTGAAAACAAGGAGCGAGAGCAGATGTAGAAAGGCTCATTGTGTTTGTGTGTGTATGTTACCAGTGACACTATAAAACAACAAGAGCTTTGTAGAGCCAGGGCCAAGCCATGTCCACCACACAAACTGAGGGGGCGATTGTACATAAATTCCTTTCGCTCATTGTTTTCATCTTTTGTGTCTTTTCCTCTCTCAACAGCCGAAGAAGAAGTTGACCTTTTACCTTCTCTACAGCGTTTCAACAGCAGTCATTGGCTCGCTACAATTTGGCTACAACACCGGGGTCATCAATGCACCCGAGCAGGTGTGTGTGTGTGTGTTTGTTTGTTCCTGGATGTGTGTGTTTTTGCTGGATGAGCCTTTTAATGTACGTCGCTTAGCGTTAAGAGAGAGGGATTAATAATTGATCACTCATTTGCTAATATGAATATTGTAATAACCAAAATGACACTTTTAGCACTTTTTAAAAATCTTTTTGTTCTGTATTTGGTTTTGCAAGGAGGCCTAATTTATAGTTATGGTTCCTTGACAGGTCTGGTCTCATTTGTAACCACAGCATTGCAAGTTGACAAAGCTAAACGCTATACTGCCCCCGTGTGGATGTGTCAGAAACTCACGCATCAAGCACAAGCTCCGTCACTTCTGTTAGAACTTAAATCAACTGTTTTGAACAAAAATAACATGAGACAAACACTTACTTAAAAGCAGTCACTTCTAATCCCGGCACTCTTTTCCCTGGTTTGACAGAAACTGCGCAGGTTTTTCCAGAATGTGTCGATGGAGCGGTACGGGGAGCCTTTCAGCCCAGGAGCCAACACCATGGTGTGGAGCTTTGCTGTTGCCATCTTCAGTGTTGGAGGCATGGTGGGGTCTTTCTCCGTCGGAGCGTTGGTCAACAAATTTGGCAGGTGAGAACACCAGGAATAGACACTGTGGTGCAGGAACTATTTTAATGTGAAATGACAGACAACAAATCAGTCCTTTCAGGATTTTAATTTTACATTGTGTGACTACTATTTTTCTTTCTTTTATTTCCTTCGATTATTCAATTGGCAGAAAATTATTTGGCAACTTTCAAAATAGATTAATTGTTTTCGTCATTCATTTAGGTAGAATGGAAAACATTCCCTGCTTTCTTTGTGAAATCTGATAGCAAATGAAATATTTTTGGTTTTGGACTGTTGTTTCGACAAAAAAATGTCATAAGAAGACTTCCCCTTGAAGTCTGGGAAATTGTGATTTTGTTATTGTTTTCAATTGAGAAGATTGCAAAAGCAGATGAATTGATAATAAAAATAATAATTAGCTTCAGCCCTCATTTCCTACATACTATTTAGACATGCCTTTTATAGTTGCTTTATTTTACTCGCTCATGTGCTTTCCTCCTTGTCTCTCTTCAGGATTAAGTCCATGCTGCTATCCAATATCCTGGCTGTACTTGGTGGTGGTCTCATGGGACTGTCGGCTTTGAGTCGATCTTTTGAGATGGTCATTATCGGTCGCTTGATCATCGGAGTGTTCTGCGGTATGTGCACGGGACTGACACCCATGTACGTGGGCGAGGTCGCTCCCACTGCTCTCCGAGGAGCCTTCGGCACGCTGCACCAGCTGGCTTTAGTTATTGGCATCCTGGTGGCACAGGTATGATGCCGAGATATTAAAACTGTGATTATATTATTGATGCTTTTTATATTCGAGCAAAAGCTGTAGATTTCTGCAGAATAATGTGGACAAAAGATATCGGCTAAGAATAATTTCATGTCCATCACAATAAACACATTGCAATGCTCTTCTATAGTACAAAATGCTTTATTCAGCTCACCAAACCTTTTTGGACATCTTGCCGTCATCACAGCGGTATCGGAGGTTGTTTCTTTCGAATTTAAAGTCTATTTATTTATTTGTCGTTTGACCTAAAGCTCATCAGTATACAAAACAAAATCATCATCCCCTTTTTTTCAGTGAAAATATGTTTACAAAATACCATATTGTATCAGTGGATACAGAAATGTACAAGAAAAATGTATCTGACCATAAACACAAAACATATAACATTACAAGCATCTTTTTAGAATATGTTTTAGTAAATAGAACATTTAATTGTAAACAATCAAATGGTAATAAGTTGAATATCCACTTTTCAATACAAACCAACACATATTGTATTCTTTCAACCTCATTTTTCAAAGCACAGCATAGTCAAATCTCTTCCATCTCTTAATATTTAGATTACCGATCAATGGACTCTATATAAAGAAACTGGGAACAGCCCTGGATGCTACTCTGATAAAGACAAGATAGCTGAAAATGTTTGGTGAGGAGAACAAAGCAATGGTGCACTGAGGAAGAGCTCTGCGACTTGTTTTAGTTTGATCAAACTGAAACTCACCTCATGTGAGTCCATTATAAGTCTGTCTTCCCCTGTTGTCTACCTATTTTAGATCTTTGGCCTCGAGTTTATTCTTGGCTCTGACACTCTGTGGCCTCTGCTGCTGGCTCTCACCATCCTGCCGGCCATCCTGCAGTGCATCATGCTGCCTTTCTGCCCTGAAAGCCCCCGCTACCTGCTCATTTCCCTCAACAAGGAAGAGGAGGCAAGAAAAGGTCAGTTTTGAGACATTATGCCAACATGGCAACATAGGGTTTTAATGAGACTGCATCAAGAATTACTCTTGCTTTATTAATGATCTGCGGAGTGAAGCATGGCCCTGTGATTTATGAAAGTTTAACCACATTATGTTCCAAGACCCTTTCAGGTTACATCATATTTTCACAATAATGTCGCTATTCATCCATCCCCGCCTTCTCTCTGTAGCGCTGGTGCGTCTGCGCGGCTGTGAGGACGTGAGCGATGATATTCAGGAGATGAAGGAAGAAGGGATGAAGATGGCCATGGAGAAGAAAGTGTCCATCCTCGAACTCTTCCGATCCCGAAAATACCGTCAACCAATCATCATCGCTATAGTCCTCCAGCTCTCTCAGCAGCTGTCTGGCATCAACGCTGTGAGTAAACGCCGAGTCCTATGATGGAGCACAATGTTAGTGATATGATCATCAAGTGTCAGTCCATGTCATCTCATACATTCATCTTTAAAGGAGCATTCACTGAAATTATACAAATGTGTCTGACAAGCACATGACGGAGAGATTCTTGGCTCCAGGCAATGTTAGATTGAGCGGAATAATCTAAGCCACTAAGGGTCGACAGAAGAGGCCAATACAATGGTATTTGATAGGTATTTTGTTAATAAGGTCATTTCACCAGGCTGACTAAATGTGTTAACGTTCCCTCGTCTGACCTGACAATCACAGTGAAGCCACAGCTGCCTGCGGCTAAAGGCTGCAGCATTGATTGAACTGACAGATATATTAACACTCATGACCTATCTCACTCACCAGCACAGCAGCTAGTCGAGTTGAGTCTTTCCGCTCAGTATTAGTTCCATGTTCCACAACTTGTAACAAAAAATACAAGCTAGCTATACCCAGCACCAAACATAGTTAGTATGCATGCTTGCAGAAGCTTGAGAGAGCCACTGGCAGCAATACACATGAACACAGAGGAGCATTTAGCTGCTACAAAGCCCGATACTGTATTTCTGTCAGGTCGATGTTGACGGAGACCAAAGAGAGTGAATATTGGACTTACATTGCAAGGTGGATGTTAACACAGATACAATACATGTTTGATTGCTAACAACTTTAAACAGTGTTAATATGTCAGTGTTGTGTTTAAAGCTTGTTGATCTGCCGCCAAGACTATACTCTAATTGTATTCACTAAAATAACGAGTTACTCATACAGTCTTCCTCCCCCTCCAGGTGTTCTACTACTCTACAGGTATATTTGACACAGCTGGTGTGACTCAACCCATCTATGCCACCATAGGAGCTGGAGTTGTCAACACTGTGTTTACCGTTGTCTCTGTAAGTTTCTGACTACACGTTTGGTGTCTCAATACAAGGAATGATTTATATTTCTTGGATTATTAATTGCTATTTTTCTTGTTTTGACCCCAGCTCTTCCTGGTTGAACGGGCGGGGCGAAGGACGTTGCACCTGATTGGTCTGGGTGGAATGGCTATCTTTGCCCTCATTATGACGATCTCCCTGTCTTTGGTGGTGAGTGATGTGATGTTTCTCTCGTGACCTTACAGAAATAAAAAAGTGTCACTATTGCTCCCCCATTACATCTTGTTCTAACTCTCTTTATTTCTCTCTCTGAGCAGAAGACAAACGAGTCTCTAAGCTACCTGGCCATCGTGGCTGTGTTTGGCTTTGTTGCCAGTTTTGAGATGGGTCCAGGTCCAATCCCCTGGTTCATCGTGGCAGAGCTCTTCTCCCAGGGGCCCCGACCTGCTGCCATAGCCGTCTCTGGTTTCTCCAACTGGACCGCCAACTTCCTGGTGGGGCTGGGCTTCCCTAAACTGGAGGTATGGTAAAATAATTGACTTCACTAAAATCTTCAGCTGTACGAGCAGTTTTGTCTTTAATAACAGACATCTCTCTCTTCTTCTCTCAGGAACTGTGTGGCCCTTATGTCTTCATCATCTTCATGGTCTTCCTCATCGTGTTCTTCATCTTCACCTTCCTAAAAGTGCCTGAGACCAGAGGAAGAACCTTTGACGAGATTGCTCAGGGATTCGCTTCCAGTGCAGGGAAACCCTCCACAGAGCCTGAGGCAGTGGTCGCTGGCCTGACAGAAGGCAAAGAACCTGCTCCCATGTCCCCCACAGACAAGGTTCCCATGGTGGTTCTTCATTAGAGGGAAGAAGGAAGACTCAGGGTACAATACAGACAACAGATTTCAAATACATTGATATTGTAAGGAGCTATATTTCATACATATGGTGAGAGAGCAGCTGTGTGTGTTTAGAAAAAGCCCACTAAATACAGCGTTAAAGATTCCCCATTTACAAATGCTAAATTAATTGTCAGAGTTCCCTCTAATCCTGCTTTAAACATGGGGCCAAACTTAACTGAATTACTACTTAATATTTGTTGACATGCCCGCTGCCAGCTCAATGCATACTGCCATATAAGAGGATCAACATATGTTGTGTGTTAAGTCTCAGGTCTTCAGCTACCCCCAGTGTTAAAAGGTTGTGGGATTTGGGGGGGGGGGGGTTATGTATTGAGGTCAAGCTTGAAAAGCCGTTTTTGGAACCCAGTAGTTTGACCCAAAAAAAAAGACTGACTTGCTGTTCTGTCTGCCTGCCTGATGTGCCTTGCTGCCAGGGGTAGGGAGCCACGTTCTCTTGAGTCGACAGAATAAATGTAGAGGTGCTACATTAAGTCCCTCTCCCTTTCAGGTGCACAAAAAAGTGCTGACTATAGACTTAGAATAAATATATCTAACAATGCAGAACATAATACATATTTGTTCTCATCCTGTAGCATCCCCTGAGAGTACAGGATGTTTGTGTGTTGTCTAATAATTTGTACTGTCTGCTTCAGGTATTTTGTTTTTATGATAACGAGGTGTAGTCGAGCACTGCCAGGGCCCTAAAAACATCTCCTTATAGGCTTTCTGCTCTAAAAAACACAACTTAATCTCTTGTGTTCTATGTTTTCATGTACAGTCAGGATGTCATAGTGCAGTAGTTTATGCAATTCAGCCATTGGGTACAAAAACTCAGCTGGCTACTGGTTTTATACTCGGCTTCTAACTGGGGCAATAGAAAACACATGTATCATCACTCTTGACATCAGTACATAGCAGTAACTTCTGCACAATAGGTCATTCAAGTAAATATCTTACAATCTCTAAAATAGTGTTACATCAAAAGTGCTCGTCAGTGTTAAAACAGTTATTTGAGATATGCATTGAAACACATTCAAGTGTACTTAAACAACACCTATGGCAGTCTAAACAAGATATTAGCCACTTGGGATAGTGATGTTAAATAGAAACACTAAATGAATTGTATTTTAAAGCACAAAAAAATGTCTTATCGTATGTTTTTCTTTCTCATTGTCTAAAAATCACGTGTATATATCGTAGATTCTCCAGTTACTGCATCGTGATCATCTATTACAGCCTAGTATACATGCTTAGGAATGTTGTGTCAATGTTTCTACAGTTGCATCCTCCTCTTGGCACACTCTGTTAAGGAAGCACTTTTCAATGTTTGAGCTCAGCAGTGTTTTAATTTGCACTTTGGCAGTCAGACTACTTTGTAATGATTGTTTGTTTTGTGTATGGCTCTCTGTAAATATACTGTATGTGTTAGGATGTGTATGGTGTTTGGTTGTTATTTGTGCCTGATAATACTCTATGCCATCTATGTTATATCCACTCATTTTCTTGCACTGTTACTATGGTGAATGTCACTAAGTTCCTCGGAAGTGAGAAGTTGAGTGTTGAATGTGTGTGCGAGTCACATAAGAAATATACCTTAACTGTTTTTCTACGGTCCTCTGTTCTCCTGCTGTAAAAGTACGAGTGACACTTGCTTTGAGAAACTAAAAAGGAAATAAAGTTGTCCATCTTTTAAGGGAATGTTCGACTTGAATTACGAGTATAAACAGTCTGTAATGCTACGAGTCAAAGCACTGAATGTTTGATGTAATTGCAGTCTTGCAGTGCTGACATGAAAGTGTGAGAGGTTTGTCTGATATTCTGTCTGGTCTCCACCTCTGCACTGTGGCAACGCCCATTTCCTTTTCTGCATCGTGGCAAAACCTCAGTCAGCAGTGCAGTTACACACTGTAGAGCTCACCGACCGTCGGAAACACTGAAATAAAGCCATGAGTTGCAAAGCAGACTTCAGTTTCTCTCTTTGTCTGCTGCTGCTGAACAGTTGGGTTTAAAAAGATGTATTCACGGTTGGGGTGACGTTTCAGGAGCGCATGCGTGAGGAGGAGTTATGAGGTCAGATTCCCTCTTGGGTCACACGGTTTCAAAAGCCAAACCAGAAGAACACACACGTAGAGACGCAAGAGAAATGTAACCTCAAAGAGGAATTCCCCTGAAAATGTCCTTTAACATTGCAGCTCTGAAGAAAACATTCTTCTGAAATTACAGGTCTTTGCTTTTTCTTTTATGAGTGCAGTTGCAAGCATTTTTTAGGAAGGAGACCAAAAAAACATCAGGGCTGCAGCTAACAATTATTTTCTTATCGCTTAGATTATAGATTCATTTTCTCCAACGGTTTATAATTTGGTCACAAGTTGCCAGAGCACCTCTTAAACTCTTTTTTACTGTCACTGAAGACCAAGAGAAGCAAAAAATAATATCATTTGAGAAGCTGGCACTAGTGATTTTTGAAAACAAATTAAGAAGTTTTAATTCCCTGCTTAATGACTGAAGCACTGTGATCCATCTCCCTCTTCACTTTACCTCTCGGAGCAAAGAGCCCTGGGTACAGGGCCCCCGGCTGGCTGGGAATGGGGCCATCTAACCGTGTCAAGCCAACAGGCAACATCTCCCTGCAAGAGTCTACTGAAGTCTCACTCAATGCAGTGAACTGGGGCATGAAAGCCCATCAACAAGCTGCAGTACTGCGGTCTGACCAGCGGGTGGCGTGCGTGAGCCAGAGGGGTGTTCAGCTGCGTGTGTTTGCATGCGTGTGTGTGTGTGTGTGTGTGTCTAGATACTGTCTGGATGAGCAATCCTGTGAGGCGACGAGTGTGTCTGAGAGACAGAGGGGAGAGGAAGAGAGAGAGGGGGGGGGGGGGGTGTTAGGAAGAGGGAGGATGAAGAGCATCCAAAAATGCGTCTTAATTATATTCATTTTCCATAAAAAGGTAGAACTGAGAGAGATCAAGCAAAAAAAGGAAAAAGAAGTTGGGCAATCTCACATGCCACAGCTTGAAAAATGCAAGTTAGCACAGCGTCGAGACATGTGAGGGATGCCACAGTCTGCCAGCCGGCCTCGCTGAAATTTGTGCTCGGCATTTTGAGGAGAGCTGGAACTGATGTCGTTAGATGTGTCTAGACAGTTGTTTTAGAGACCAAACAAACTTGTTTATTAATTTGTCCACCTCCTTTTCCCTCTGTCAGTCTCTCTTGTTGACTCTGCCTTGCTTTCTCTCTCTGTCTTTGTTTCTCTCAAATAAAAAAATAAAAAAACCTCTCCCACTTTCCTCCTCCCACCCCGTCTCTCTGACAACAGTGTTTTGTTTACTTCCTCTATTGGCAGTGTACTTATTGTATGTGCTGCTCTGTAAATATCTTTCTCCTTCCCTCACCCATCCACCCCCCTATCCTCCCTTGCTCTCTCTCTCTCCCTCTCTCAGATAAAGGGAGCAAACAGACTCCACCCCCTCTCTCACCCCCCTCTCCCTCTCCCTCCCTAGCTCTGTCACACATACTCACTCTATCTCCTTCTTTCATGCTCTCTCCCTCCCTCTCTCTCTCTGTCAGTGTCATTCTGTAGTGGAGATGTGGAGTGTCTTTCTTTCTCTCTGTCTGTTTTTTCAGCCCAATTCAGCTGAGGAAGGTAAGAACTAAACTTTTACTTGGTCTTAAATTCATTGTTGCCTTGCACGTGTTTACGAGAGTATAGCGGGAAGGAGAGTTTCCACAGCACTCCCATCATGTGCTCATAATGAGCCTACAAGTGAAGGATGGAGACTCGGTATGCGTCTGTAATAGCTCTCTAAGAATGTGGCTCTCTGGGAATGTTGGCCACTTTGAGGATGTGTGAAACTGTGGCAAGTAAGGGTAGGGGTGCAACAACACAAGAAAGTCTGATTGATTCTCAATTTCTGGGGCCTCACATCCAGGTTGGGACCCCCTGAATAATTACCCCCTCCCTCCCCCCCTGCTCACACAGTCCGGCGTGTGTTCATTTTGTGTGCTGTGTCTGAGTGCATATGTGTGGATATGCATATGTATGCAGATGCTTGCGAGTGCCACTGGCAGCAAATCAGATAGTACTTTGTTGGCACGGATGTGCCAGGTGCGTGCCGGGGCCAATCAAGCTCCCACAACAAAAGAATATGGAAATGAGGCGGGAGACAAATGCAAAATAAGTTGCATCACCCATTTCTCTTTCAAATATTAACCCCTGTGTCACTCGTGGTCTCGCGTATGTGACAGCCGGAGACCCCTGCCCCCTCTAAGGCACTCTTATCAGTGTGGCCCCCTCGTCTCCAGTCTCCTCAGCGAATGTGCTCCGCTCTTAACTCCACACACTTTGTCTGTATAGGCTACTTGGACATTTTGGAGATCTTAAAGAGTGCAAAAGTGAGTGGAGTGAGTGAGTCAGTCCGTAATCAAAAGAGAGACTAAGAGACTGTCTGGAAAAGCTGCTAACCTGATATTAATTTGATGACTCAAGCTGCCTTTAAATGTATGTGTGTATACATTTGTACATATGTGTGTGTGTGTGCCTGTGTGTGTGTTGTTATAGGTGCTTCCTATACATAAATTCGGCTCCTTGGTTTCAGCAGGCAGCACACAAATTACTTTCAAAGAATCTGGCTGCATGTTGGAAAGAGCTGCACCTGTTCACGCTCATCTCCCATCGGCTTTAGTTTACTGCGAGGTGTGTGTCAGTAATAGTCTTTAACAGAGGTAACTTATACGTCGGCCTCATGCCACAGATTTGAGCTGTGTTTGTAACAGATGGCCTGGACTAAGATGAGACAGAATGATAGAGCGGGAGAGAGGCTGCACAGCGTTACTGGCCTACTGACTGACTGTTTGTGTAATTGAAATAGAGCTCTCATAATACAGTATTAACCCAATAGCATGGACGTCCATACAAATCCACATAAATTGAACCATATAGTTATGTCACGAAGGGATTTGGAGTCTGCCTCGGGTTTGATTGCAGTAAATGACGTGTCTGTCTGGACTGACTGATATTACTGTCTGTCTTTCTATTGTTTATTGTCTGTCTAATGCTTATGAAGTATGTCTGTGTACCATAACAACCCCTATTCTTGTATACTTTCACACCACAAACCATAAGGAAGTGTCATTTTAAGCCTTAAACTCTTGCGGAAGAGTATGAAAGCTAGTTTTCTGCCTCTTTGCATGCAGACAAACCGCAGAGTGTGAGTGACAGGGTGTTTGATTTATCACTCTCGCTAGCTGACTGTGTAAGTGTTGACACGTTCGCCCACATGCATTGTTGATGTGAGGTACTGTTGAGAAGCCACATGGCTGGC